TATATATATATATATATATATATATATATATATATATATATATATATATATATATACTTTCCTGTGTAGACTCAAGAGGGCGCTTTATATCAAACCCAATTCGTTCGACTGACATTTCACCTTTTTATTATTCACGGGCTTCTTTCATCTATCCTCAAGTGCTGTTTTCTTTCAATGAAGATGTTCGGATGCGTTTTGGGAGTATCGTGTCTATATTGAATGCATCGTCAAACCGCAAATCCATGAAAACAGAAAAGAATACGCACAAATCTGCAATATAGAACCACATTCTCTGTATCAGTAATTGACCGGGGTGTGATCAGAGGCTGTGAAAGAAAATCTGATCATTTATCGCCAATTTGCATGCTCACTGCGCCTAAACTTGAAGCATAAAAAAAGTTCATTTTGTTATCCGGTTGTTTCGCTAATTTGCTGAAGATAAATCGGCACAATGGTCATAATTATATTGAGTGGACCTATCCCAGGGTGCGTCACAGTTGGTATTTCAACGAGTGTGTGTATTCCTTGAAGGGATGGGGTAAAACTGACGGCCAGTCGTGGCAAATACAAGCCGTGTATGTTTCCGTGGCAACTTCATATAAATACTAGTATTTCGTCCCCTTTAGCCACCTCATTGGGACTACTTTATTTCGCACCTGTAGATTCATTGTATTTATGCCAAGCGTGGAATTTTTCGGAATTGTCTGGATAACTGCAAAGATTTCCCTCCCCACTGGTCAAATTGGAGTCAGTCCGACGATCTAAGTGACCATACATCGACAGATTACATAGTGCTTTAGTAACCCCCATTGGTATAGTAGCACGTCCCTTGCCGTTTATCGAGTTGTTGAATTTTACGCAATGAACATATTTAGTCGCGAGTAAAATCAATGCGCCGGCGGAGGCAATTCTCCGGTGATGCGGCACTTGGAGGAATCAGAGACTCAGTGATTACGAATCGACATCATTACAACCTTTCTTGATAATTGTGGCTTTGTGTGGATAAGTCACGTGACAGGATGCGCAACATCCGAGACTGAATGAAATGTTGAATTGTAACAGCCAAGAACGTCAGATTCTTTTTAGCGTTCATTTTCCTACCTCAAGGGGCCGACCAGGAATACTGAATAAGTGTGGATTTGGAATATTTTACTAAGGGGTTAAATACTTGATTTTCACTGAAGGGAAGATACAGTAAAAATAAACTCCATACAAAACACCCAAAAGTAAAAAAATAAACGCCAGCTTAAATAGAGTATTTTACAGTATTTGTGGCTAGATGTAAAAAAGTTGATAGAAAATATGGATGAAATATTTGGAAAAAAACAAATTCATCCAGCTCCTTAGAATCAAGTCTTCGCCAAACAGCTCATCCAGTCCATATATCACATAGCAATATTGCCTGAATCAAATGCTACAATTTTCACGGTATTACATCATTTCAACTGAAAAAAATACAATTGACTTTTCATCACGAACCAGTGACGATATTGTTGCTAACATCATTTGTGACTGCCAAATTATGTAACCCTCAAAATAGTGTCATATTCCATATGTTGCCATGCCAACACAGCCAGCATCTTTAAGATGCTATGAATGTGCAGTTGCTATGGAAACCATATCCTGTTATCTCACTAATTGTTAACGGCATGTTTTGAATATTAATAGGTACACTCCCTATTACAGAGATTCAAATTCAATTCGCCAATCTCCATAACCCCAGATTTGCACATCTTGTAACGAAAAAAAAAATATTTCCTTAAATCTGTTAGATTGTGGTTCATGAGTTGCCATAGTAACAGTAATTAATCACTATTTCACTGGCCCGTCAAAACTCTTATTTACATAAGTATTAGATTTTAATAAAAATGAAGTCATCGCTGAAAAATTTAATCAGTGAACAAATTGCGATTATTGCATCGCTACTTTGTGATAATTATAATTATAATATTGATGACTGATAATTAAGATCATGAATGGTATCAGAAACAGGCTACTAATTTGTATAACCCATATGACACATTGTTTTCGCAATTCTTCAGAAACACGTCTTTAAACGACGATACAAAATTATTTGATGCCACATTTTTTTTCGATATCTTCAAGAAACTAATAACTGTAACTGAATCAATCAAAAATGGGTTTACTCAGGTGTTTCCATGGTAACAGTATGTCTCTAATAATGAGGCCTTCTCACTCAATGTAGACAACTTGTGATGCTGTTTTTTTTAGCCTAACCCGCTAAATTAAAACGTAACTGAGTAAAATAGTGTTATAACTCATTGTGTCACTGGACAATTTGTGAATTTAAAAAAACAGTGAAAATCATCACACATCAAAATAGTGAACTTAAATATCTGTTTATGATTTTTAAGTTTTCATGTTTCTAATATAAGTTCTATTAAACATGTGCACCTCGTAACTTGTTTGTTTTAAAAGATAACTGATTTAAAAATTTCAATTTTAATGGATGAAAAAATCTAGGCGTATATCATTTTACTATAATGACAACTTGAAAATTAAAACAAAATGACTAGAAACTATTTTATTTTTTTCAGAGTCTAAATAAAAAAAATTAAATAAATACAATTTTGATACTAACCTGAACTACAATATCACCAGCAATCATTACCAAGATTAAAGAAGTGTTTTTTGTCATATATTTTAATCCAAGTAACACTGAACCAAAATGACCCATGTTGTCAAGTATTAGAATATTCATGCTTCATGTATACAACTTGAAACATCACCTAGAATGCCGAAAAATGAGTTTTTTGTGACCAAAAATCCATTTTCTAGCTATTATCATAAATATATGTCATGTCACATCATCATGTGTTCAATTCATTTTTTACAAAGCTGATTTTGATTCAATATTACTATATTTGCTTTATTTATTTATTGGCGTAAAAGAGAAAGGTGTTTTTATGGTCAAAATAAATCATAAAATAATGATTTACGGTTTATGTGTCATTCAGCTGGAGGTGTGCTTCTGATACAACACATATGGCAAATGGACTTAAGAAGGTGATGCTCTTTTAATACTCAGATCTATGATAAAAATAGGCAGATTTTTTTTTATATCACTGGAAATGCATTAATTTTTCGCTGGATATTAATTTTTTTTAATAAGTACTGTAGAATACTTTATTTTCGCTATTTTCGCTGAAGGAATGATTCCGTGAAAATAAAATCCAGCGAATATACTTTTTTTCTTATATTTCACAATCGACTCATCAAAAATCAGTGAAAATAAATTCAATAAAGAACGCCTAAAAAGCAATTCCAGCGAAAATAAAGTATTCCACAGTAATATGCGCTATTAAATTAAATCTACTTGAACATGTAAAATAACAGTAACACCCAAATTTG